GGGGGGGTGGGGGGTACCGGAAAAAGAATATCAGTACTCGATACTGAAAAACCGATATCCTAGTAATTATTCATTTTCATCATTTTTCAAATTTAAATGGAATATTGTGTGAATACATTTCACGTCTATGGGCCAGTAAAGATTGTGTTCAGCAATTGTCGCTGTTATTTCACCTTCAGAGAAAGTCAAAAATATATTTCATTGTTCACTACTATGGGGGCGTCATACTAAACCTGCACGGGGGGGCTCTTTATAACCCGTCGCCCGTTTATAACGTTTCAGCCATGACAGATTGAGGTGTCACAGCCCCGCCCCCTCCATTGTGCACACATTGATCCAGATAATCTGTCCCCCCCAGCTGTTGGGAGATTTGTCATTGATACCGGAGATCACACCGCGGCGTCCGTTTATAAGAACAAAGCTCTGCTGCGCACACACAACAGGTTTGTTTGCCCCGGGACACCTGGCGTGCAGGACTTGGGCATGTACCAGGACTGAACACCTCCCCTCGCCAGTGCTTGGCACACAAAGAAACCACTTTGCCGAGCACAGTGAGGACTGCAAGGTTAAGCTGGCACCGGGTCAGGTCTAAGAATCCCGCCCGTACGAAGGGGGTACCTGCGTTCATTCAGATCCATTGACCCGGAACGGCGTCCCGCCCCAGAAATAAATCTTTTCGCCATTGTTATCGGGGAAAACCTCCGGCTCCATTCTGCTGTCACCGATATCCACGCGGAGACAAACCTCGCTGATATATTACAAACCGCTCCGCAGCAATGAAGGAATACAAGTCACAATGGAGGATCTGTATCTGGGCAGCCTCCGAAAACCTGAATCCGTATCTCACACCGAGTCCGTCCAATCCCAGCCTCAGGGTGACGGAGAGACTTCATGCCTTTCACTGCCGCTCATTGTGCCGCCAATCGGAACGGGCGACCTTCTCCCCCCGCGTCAGTCATTTATTACAAATCATTGTATCCAAATAAAAGGAAGTGAATAATGAATGCCGAGATCCCAGGACAGGAAATGGAGGTTCTGAGAAGAGAGGCTGTCACGGCTGTGGCCGGCGGCAAGATGACAACACGCGCAAAAAAACGCTGCTCTGTAGTTTGAATCCACTCTGTGGGTGACACGACACCAGCAGTCACTGTGTTTCTTCCAACGCGATTCGATTGGATCGGTGTGTGTGCTCGGTGTGTATACTGGGACTTGTGACTTGTGAGATTCGGGTCAGAGAATAAAAGGTGAATCGACGATCGAAAACGTTGCCAACGTTTTCAATCGTCGATTTTAATCGACTAAATCGATTAACTGTTGCAGCTCTAGTCAGAACCGAAATATAAGATCCGCTCACTATGGGCAGCGCCATTTTATATTTCATTGGGGTGTGCGCGCGCGTGCGTGTCTTTCTCTCACACATGACATCCATACAGTATATGAATTCTGCTCATCCACTCCTGAGATTTCCACAACCCCGTCTGGCAGGAGACCTGATTTTTCTCTGCTGCAGTTCACTAACACTTACAGGTCTTGTCCCTCCCCCAGTCCAGTGATTGGACAGAGAAGCAGCAGACTGGTGAGGTCGGCTCTCTGTCATTCTGCTTTCTTCTCCTTTTCTGCATTGTCAGCGCATGAGCACTGCGGATCTCTT